CACCTTGCCGGGTGCTACTCCTGATCCTTCTGGCGGCTTCATGTAGATTGCTTCCTTTAACGTGGAGTTCAAGTAAGCCATAGTGATGTCCAGAGCATGTACCTCCCAGTTGTTCTGCACTGCTAGTGCTAAGATGGCTCTGATCACTCCGAGGGGTGCTACTGGAGAGAAGGTTTCTTGGTAGTCGATCCCCTCTCTCTGTGTGAAGCCCCTTGCAACCAGTCGCGCTTTGTGCTTAACAGGTACACCATCAGCGTCAAGCTTCAGCCGAAGCACAACCTTAGAGTCCACAAGTGGTACTCCTGGTGGTTGGTGCACCACCTCCCAAGTCCCCATTGCCTCAAGTCCTTCTAGCTCCTTTCGTATTGCCTCCTTCCAGAGCTGGGCGTCCTCACCATTCATTGCTTCCCCAAGCATTGGGTCCAGGTTCAGTATTGCTGTGTTGGCGGCACCCACTGTGCTGTCTACGGCTGGTAGGAGATCCTCCACTGCGGCCTCTGATCTGGTCTCCTCCTCTACTATGGCTGGCGTGACACCCTCCTCCTCGACCTCCATGGTCACCATGGGCCTGACTGCCTCTTGTTGGCGATCACTCCATCCTTTGTCCTCATGGAATGTTGCTGAGTTGCTCCATTGAATTGACGCAGGCTGGTCCGGGTTGCAAAACTTCCATGCTTTATGTTTGTCATCATACCCAATCATGATGGCTGGCTTTGCTCTAGCTCCGTGCTTGCCTTGCTGGTCCTTCTGTTGAACATGAACCCATGCCAAGCATCCGAAGACTCACAGTTGCTGGGCCAGCTTGTGTGCGGTGGTTCCATAAAAGGCCTCGTGGGGAATGGTTTTGGTGGCTGACGGGGTAAGGTTCATCACGTGTGCTGCTGCTGTGATTGCATATGGCCACAACTCTCTGGGGCAAGCTCGACCAATCAGCATTGAGCGCAGCTTTTCTTGGACCGATCTGATTGCTCTCTCCGCCCATCCATTTTGGACGCTGATCCCCGGGACGCTCTTTTGCCACTTAAAACCCTCTTGAGTTTGCCAGTCTTCGGCTGCTATGCTGCACCATTCTCCTCCATTGTCGCTGCGGAGTGTTTTGAGTTTCCTGTCTGTTGCCCGTTCCATCCTGGCTATCCACCTTCTCAGCGCCGTGAGTGCGGCACTCTTTGTGCAGAGTGGTTCCACATAGATCAGAGAGGAGAAGTCGTCCACAGCAACTAGTGCGTAGTGGTAGTTGGCATGTCCTTTGAAATCTGTCATCAGGTCTACGTGTACCAGCTCTAATGGTGCCTCCATTCTTTCCGACTCTGATTGGCTCATCCGTGCTCGAGTCTGTTTTCCTTGACTGCACGCGTTGCAGTGCTTCGACTCATGTTCCATTTCCTCGTCGGTACCTAGGTAATGGGCCCGGATTTGTCTTGTTTTGTCTCATCCTGGGTGTCCGAACCTCTCATGCCATAGGTAGCTGTCTCGATGCTTCGTGTCCTTATTGCCCTCCGGGGCATTATCTAGTTTTCCTGTGTTCTGGTTGTCCTCTGGGACGCCATCTCGTGTTTCCTCCAGTTCCAAAGCCAGTGCTTGTCCTCGCACTTTGAAGTGGCCCTGTCTTCTGTTCCTTTTGAATTGTACTTGGGTACCATCGTTCTGCTTTATGGTAGTTCCAAACTCATCAAAGATTACTCGTGCACCATTCTCGATCAAGCCTTGTACGGACAATAAGTTAGCATTCAGTTTCAGTACATAAAGCACATCCAATAGTTGGATGGTGGCCTCACCGACCCGAAGGGAGGCATCTCCTATAGCCTTCACCTGAAGCTTTTCATCCCCTGCTGTACTGATTTGGCCGACCTTGTTCGTTGAGGTGAGCAGCATTCTCTCATCATTTACCATATGATGGGTTGCACCTGAATCGATGATCCAGGTGTCGCATGCTGATCGCTCGCCCCTGTCGACTGCTAGAAAGGTGCACCCGAGTTCCTAGTGGTTCACCTCTTGTGTCGTACGAGCGACAGGTTCGCTTGTGCCTCGTGCGTTCGTGCAATTTCGAGCAATGTGATTTGGTCCTCCGCAAGCGTAGCACTTTGGAGGGGCCAAGGGATTGCGAGGATCGCGCCTCCCCCTGGGTCCTTGCTCCGCCTGGTTGGCACTCCCCTGTTCCGCATTTGTGGCGACCCTTGCTGCTCCTCTAATACGACCAGTGATCTCACCATCCTGCTGTTTCTTGGCCAGTGCATGGTAGGCTTCGTCATACTTGCAGTCTGGTCTGGCCGTTTTCAGTGCATCAATGGTGTTGGCGTAGAACCAATCTTGAGCCGTGCAGCGATAGAGAGTTGATTTCTTGAGGTCCTCGTCGAAACGCCTTCCGAGGCGTGCCGCATCGTTCCAGATCGAATCAAGTTCCTTGCCTAGTCTGACAACGTCTCGATTGTGCAAGCGCACTGTGTGGATACGATCCTGCAGTCCTGCTCGCTTTACAGCGTCGTTTAGTGTTAGTGCCTTCTTGAGTTTGGCATAGAGTGTGCTACCAAGTTGAACTTCTTCATCCACCCCTCTGACAGTATAGGTGTCGATGCAGCTATCTGGGCTGTTATCGCAGCAGGCGTGGATGAGGCCCACAAGTGCCTTGTCTAGGTCTTCATCATATTCCTCGCTCCCGGGTACAACGGTACCATACAGGATTTCCTTCGCGTTGTGCACTCTCTGGAGGCAGTCGATAAAGGTGGGTTCCCAGGTGTGCCAATTGCTATCGCTGAGCTTCTTGATGTGAGCAATGGAGCTCGATACGTCCTTGGGGATCTTTTCGGTCTCCCCGCGTGGAGCTTGGTTGCTAATGTTGACCAGACCCATGGCCCGTACTATTGCTTCCTCTGCCGATAGTGCTGGGTTCGCCAGCTGGAGGATCCTGACTACCTGCGTGAGCCATCCTTCCTCCTGTCCATTGCTTGTGGTCATTTGATCATCATCACCCCTTCCCGTCTGTCCAGCTCTTGTCGATGGCGGCATTGTGTTGAGTGTCAGACTCTTAATCAGTTGAAGTCATTCGTCAGTGTGTTGGAGTCATTCGTCAGTGGTTGGGGTTGAGGTGTCTTTGTTGATGATGGTAGTAGGAGAGAAAGAGAGCAAGAGAGCTAGGAGTCTATATATACAAAAGAAGAGCGGCGGAGAGCCGCATTGACTGCAGAGCATAACAAAGCATTTGCCTTGAGTAGGTTGTGACACATGTGGTCCGTGCTAAGATGTTCAGGCCTTTTACTTGGCCGTAAGCACTACCTTCACTGTCTCCACGCTTTGTGCGGCTTTATCTACTTCAACTCACGGACCTGGATTTCGGTCAACAAATTCGCCGATAGTATCGATGTTAGGCCGCGCTGAAGTGCCAGATCACCGATTCAGAATCTTTTTTTGGACCCGATTGGCAGCCAGGTGAGATTGCTTTTGAGTCCGCAAAAAAAAAAAAAAAGAAAAAAAAAAAAAAAAGAAAAAAGAAAAGCAGGAAAAAGAGATATTAATTGCTATTCGGGGCCTCGATTTCTGAACGGTCGTCGTTGCTGTGCGATGATGAGCATCATATGTAGACACACACTACCATCGAGCAGAAGAGACGGTCAACGTCGATCAGATGCAGCAGGCAACAGCAGGCAACAGCAGGCAACAACAGGCAACTCACTGGGCATCAGACAGCAATCTTGCTGGCTCGGATTGGATCGCATCTCATTTCATGGTGAAGCGGAAGCGGTTGCCGTTAGCGTCGGATGTGAGATACTGAGACCCCTTTGCAGTTTGTGGCGCTTGTGTGGTGTGATGACGACCAAGTCGAGATGGACGAGTGTGGTAGTGCAAGACAAAAGATGAGCCGAAATGACAAACAAGGTCAATCTCAAGCGACCGACTGTGTGCTGCTTTTGCGTGGGGCTGATCCCATCAACAGTAATGAACTATGCTCTCTGCCTTTGTTCTCGAGTTGCTCAAGCTTGTTCCTTTGACGGCGACCAAGAGCAGCAATGCAGAGAGGCTTCTCTCTCTCTCTCTCTCTCTCTCTCTCTGTTCCTCTCTGTCACTCATACACTCATACTCATACTCTCACACTCTCACCCGCTGTCGGTGGGCATGTCGACAAGCCACATCTGCTTGGCATCTCTGTTGACTTTGAGCGACGACACTGTCTTGCTTTGCTTCTCTGTGGGTTGTCAGGTCAACATTGCTGCTAGCAGCTTGGTTTTTGCCGACGATCTCACCCTTCTTATAGAGCCAGCTGCGCCCTAGATTCCGAATTGGCCTATCGCAAGCCAGCAACGGAGCGAGCATCCCTCTAACCCTAACCCTGACCTCTTTGACTCTTTGGACTCTTTGGACTCTTTGGTCTTATTGACTCTTTGGTCTCTTTGACTCTTTGACTCTTTGTCTTATTGACTCTTTCTTTCTTTCTCTCTCCTGTCGTCGTATAAATCATTATTATTTATTTAATATTTCTTCCCCCTCCCCCCCCCCCCCTCAGCATTCTCTGCTTCTTGACAGTCGTCTCGAAGGGAGAGAGAGGGAGAGAGAGAGAAAGAGAGAGAGAGAGAGAGAGAAAGAAAGAGAGAAAGAAAGAAAGAGAGAAAGAGAGAGAGCGGTTCTGATCTCGAACCGTTTTTCGGTGTCTCTCGGCCTATTTGCTATTGATTCCTCGGATGCGCTCTCCTACCCTGACACCTCCTCCCCTGACACCACCACCGCCACTGACACCACCACTGCCGCTAACACCACCACTGCCGCTGACACCACCACTGCCGTCGTCTACTGCAACACCATCATCGCAACCTACAACCTCAATTCAATTTCGTCATCCGCTACTTTTGCCTTTCGCGGTGAATATCAACGACACAATCACCAATGCAAAAGTAGCGGCCGCTTCGTCCCTTCACTCTTCCGATACCTCACCCTTCTCCCTGCTGTCTTCCGCTCCACCACCCTCGTTGTTTGGCAATTCCCATGGCGCCCGCCTGCACCTTTCTTCCAAAATGTCGGACGTGGCGCCGCCCGAGTCGCGTGATGACGATCCGCCTGTCATCATCAATGAGCCCACATCGCACAACACAATAAAGACACCACCACCAATAGCAACAGCAGCAGCAACAGCAGCAGCAACAGCAACAGCAACAGCAACAGCAACAGCAACAGCAACAGCAACAGCAACAGCAACAGCAACAGCAACAACAACAACAACAACAACAGCAGCAGCATCATCATCATCATCATCATCATCATCATCATCATCCCGTCACCAATCCTCCTCCTCCTCTTCGCCTGTTGCCCCTTCTAGCGAAACCCCACAGCGCTGTGAGCCCACCACTGACCCTAGAAAGACTCTGCAGCTCTCTACTGCCGTCGATTCGGCCCTTGCGTCTGCACAGACGAGTCCGGGTACAAAGACACCCGAGGTCACCCCCACTGCCACTGTAAGCACCCTTCAGCTTGCATCCAATGCCCTCTCCACCATTCCACAGCAACAAGAATCCCATGCAGCATCGATAGTACCAGCAGCTGCCCAGCTCCTCTCTGCTCTGCATCGCAAACATAAAAAGGCTCCTGCCATTCAGAGTCCTCGACCAGGCTCGATCCGCTCGCGTAGTGCAGCTACTACTCCAGTCCCACCTTCTCTCTTGCACGGTCTTAAGCATGACTCTTTCGACCTCACCGCCAACTCCTCTCGCGCAACAACGCCAACACGGACCCCGTCGGGGCGTGCCAAAAGACAGAGGCGCGAGCGCAATCCGCCTACTCCGAGTGCAGTCCCTTCCGCTTTGCCGAGTTTGCAGTCAAACGATCGCAGGAGATCCGCACGAGTCGCAAAGGCAGTCACTACAAGCACTTCCGACAGTCCCAACACTCCCAACACTCCCAACACTCCCAATCTCGCACTCTTTCAATTCTCGCCCTACTTGGAGAACCTTGTGATCAACGCAAAGGAGACTGATCGTCGAACACGCTCTGCTGCAAGAGGCATTCGTCCGATTGTCGATCGTGCACCTACTCGAGCCAAGCGTAGTGCCGCCAAAAGCAAAACAAACCAGCCAGACCAAGATGCTCCCGACGACGAGGCTAAAGCAGAGCTTTACCGACAATTGTGCATCATCTCCTATCAGCTACAAGCACATCTAGATTTGATGCCTCACAAGTCATTAGAGCAGCTTTCCGCTCAATTTGCAACACCACCGCCCCATGAGAATGCTGATGAGCATGCTAACCTGCCCACAACTTGTCCCGAAAGTGCTCTTCCAGGTGCATCAGCCAATGCAAGTCGAGCCAATACGCCTGCTCCCAACCTCAACAGGCAGAACAGCTACCACGCACAGAACAGCTACAACCCGCACAATCAAGCAAATGCAAGTGCCTCCATGTGCTCGCAACAGCAACCTCTCATCGTCAAAGCCGAACCACCACAATCGCCACGCTTCTCCCACCTTGAATCGCAGTATACTCAATCACATGCTCATTTTGAGTCGCAAGAGCCACCCAAGCATGCCTACTACTCGCCAGAATCGTCACCGGAAGTAGCGCTGGCACAGAGAGTAAGGCCACCAGCTTCCACTTACAACTATCATCCACCCACATACGGAAAAGTAGACCAAATCCAGGACGAGCGCATGTCTCCTCCCTTTCCACCAGCGCGGCGCAACATCATGTCCATCTCTGCGCTCATCCATGGTCCCACTCAACCCACCAAACCTCGCACTCCATCGCCCCCGCTTATCCGCACGCCTCCTCGACCGCTAGCACCACATAACATGCAAGAATGGACAGACCAAGATGAAATGGCTTCTCACTTTCTCGACGCTTGTATTGCAGCAATGCCTAAGCTCGACACCACCGAGCTCGATCGCCTGACCCAGATTGCTCATTTGGCGGCATTCCACCTTGCTCTCCCCTCTACACCTTGTTCACCACGCACCTCCATCCCACCTTTGCTAGAGCAGGATGAGCAGGCTCGTCTCGAAGCCATTGCCAAGTACGACCCTAGACGTCTCAACCCGCTCGACACCCTCGATACTACCGCACTCTATTCCGCTGAAGAATCACACTATCTCTCAGAGATGCAGGGCAACCAAGAACTCTACCAGTCCATCCGCTACCTTTCCAGCTTCGACGCTGTGGTTGATGAGTGGCGAGCGGCAGAACTAATGCGTCTGCGATTCCAACTTGAAATGCGCAAAGCAGAGATCGATCGCATTTGGTCTTGCGATCGTAAGCTCGCTTGGTCGACCTTCATCGATAATCGTGCACGTCAGCTCTATCGAGGAGCGATGGCAGAGCTTAGTCGTAACAAGTGGCAAGCCGAGATGCAGCTCGACCTCTTGGCGGTGCATAGAAGCAAGACCAAAGGTTTGAGCAAGTTGACCAAGGATATTCTTGTGCCTGATCTTGTTGGCTTCCAGCAAGATGACAAGGTCAAGGAGCTCTATAGGAAATTCGGCAAGTTTCTTGCTGTGGGCGCCAAGTATACTGATGTCGTCGATCCATTGGTTAGGGCAGATTTGAGCAAGATGAGGGATGCAATACGCTCACAGAAGCGAAGCAACAAACTTGGTCAAGAGGCTGAAGAAACAACGGCAGAAGCAGACGCCGACCTCGTCGATGCAGAGCAAGTTGCTTCAGAAGACTCTTGCTACGAATCCGACTCGGACTCATCCTACGTCACTTGCTCCTCATCCGGCATCTCCTCCCTACCCTCCTTCAGCTCGGTCTACAGCTCTCCCCGTCTCCCCAGCATTGCCGATTTCGATGCACCGGACATCCTCATCTCCACCGACGACCTGGAGGGAATGGCATCCGAAGTCGCCTCGCAAATCCCTGCTCCCGCCGAAAGCGTCTCAGACCAAGAGGTCGATGAAAGTCTCTGGGCAGGTCAAATCAGACTCACCAACCAACTTGTAGCCGAAAACGCATTGGCTTCAGGTGTTCAAACTTCAGCTTCACCATCTGCTCTGCATAGCAGAGCAACTACTCCAGCACCACCAGCAGGAGGCAAGAAGCCGAGAGGAACGAAGCGGAAGAAGCGTCCACCTCCTCCCGGTGCTAGGCTTTGGAAGAAGGGGCGTGTCCAGCGAGATCCCACTGAAGAGGGCGATGAAGAGATGCAGCCTCCTCCTGCCCACCAGACAGACCAAGGGCGAGAGAGCGGGTATCCGAATGGCGCAAGTAAGCCAGAACAGCAAGAGTTTCGACCATCTACACCAAAGCTAGAAGAGCTCCAAGAGCAACCGCGTAACGGAGCTTACGAACCCCACGTCTACAGTACCCGAGTGTCGGGAGAACAGTTGGCGCCTCCATCGTACAGTTATCCTATGCGCGACAATCAGTACGTTGAGCAGGGAATCAGGTATGACAAAGGTCCATACTACCCAGTGGAGGGTGCTACTAGAGCTAGTTATGACAGTGGCTATGCGTATCCCCCTCCTCCTTCCGCGCCCGCTGGTGTGTGGAGTAGGGACGAAGCAATGGCCTACCGCAACAGCAGCGATCAAAGGTTGCGTTATGCAGGTCCAACTCCCCCTCCACCGCAAGACTATTACCCGTCTTATGGCCAAGCGTACCCGCACCAGCAGCAGCAGCAGCCTCGACATGCTCAGCAAACTAGACCTCAGTGGCCGTATTAGACGACTTGCAATGTAGAAGAAAGTAATAAAAAAAAAAAAAAAAAAAAAAAAAAAAAAAAAAAAAAAAAAAAAAAAAAAAAAAAAACACACACCCCAGAAGAGGGCGCATAAATCATTGTACTTCTATCTCTCAAAAGAATCACACAGCAGTCAAGACGATAGACCTATGCTTGTGCCTCTCTCATCTCATACTTTCCTTGGCACGTGAGCAGGAAACGATCAACTTTGTTTGAGCAGAGCGGTAAATTCTGATTTGATGCAATGATTGCATTACTGTCGTACATGTCTTCTATAACATCTGCAAAGGCGATAGCAGAAGGATGAGAAAAGCGGAAGTAACAAAAAAGTCAGACCACGTTTTTTTTCTCTCGACGTTTCTCTTCTGTTTCTCTTCTGTTTCACTGCTTCTCCAACAAAGCGGTGCAAGAAAAGGCCGCAAGGAGTTGCGCTGGTTCGTGACTGGGTCAGACAAGGCTGAAACTTGATATGGATTTGATTGTCCTCATAATAAAATAGGACTAACGAGATTCCTGAAATAGTCAAATGTGTTGATCATCATTGTAGTTGACAAACCAGCACATTTTCCTTGGTCCGATTGATGCTTTCTGTTCGAATTTCGAGAGGGCTTTGATCAACTTACAGTTTTCATGGTGTGGTGGTGTAGAGGGAAGGAGATGGATGTTTGGGATGAAGTTCAACTTTGAAATCTTGTGCCTGCGTTGAACAAAATTTGTTTTTGTTTTTCTTGTTTTTCTGAGAGCCGATCGAGGATCAAGCAGCTAGATCGGGGCATGTTAAAGCGTCGCCAGAAGACATGTTGGGAAAAAAAAAAAAAAAAAAAAAAAAAAAAAAAAAAAAAAAAAAAAAAAAAAAAGAAAAAACAAAAAGAAAAAGAAAAACACCACTGGCGAGATGAGGATTACACCATTCCACGCCATCCAAGCCACAGCAGGACCACAGGGAGCACTTGAAAGACATAGTAGCATTGACCATCATGAAGCAAATGTAGCAAAAAAGGACTATGCAATAGACAACAACATGGATGCTGAACATAAACACCCTATGACGATTCTCTGCCAACTGCAACACTAGCACTCAAACTCAACTTTGTCGGCGACAAACTTCTCGCTCTGGCCATTTGAGCCCTCCTCACAGCTGGAGAAGGAGGAAGAATTGCTCTTACTCCCATCATACCCAAACTTGTCCTACTTGGTGAGGCTGAAAGCGCTCCAAATTCTTCGCTACTACCACGGAAGGGTTTGGATGGTGGAGTTGCAACTCTTTCCACTGGAGATTTCTTTTCCACCAATCCCATAGCTTGGAATGGCTTCTGGTTTTCCACATCCGCTCCTGCCATTCTGTCTATCTGATGCTGTGTATCAGTGGTGTGGAAAAGGAAGCAAGGTGGGCTAGTAGTACTACATCCTAGACGGCCGTATGGGATGCCTTGTTGTTGTGTAGATTTCTCTTGTTTGCCTTGACGTTGCTCGAATTCGGCAGCTTCTTGTGCCGGGGTACGGGGTTTGAGTGGCGAGGGTATGCGCCGTCGTAGGGTGGGTCGAGAGGGAGCTTCTTCACTAGTCGCTCTAATGGACTTGGTTTCTTGTGCTGTAGTTCTTCTTTCAGAACGTGGTGCTTTTGGCGTCTCCCCTCCTCCTATACCTTGTCCGTTCAGGTCTCGTCTTGAAGCACGTTTCCGAGGAGAAGCTTTGGGAGTAGTACTTTCCTTTGCCATCCTTCCTGCATTTGCCTCCTCGCTTCCCCTCCTATCACTCGAAGCATGCGAGTTGAGAACCTGAGACCAGAAATATCTGAACTCCAAACACAACAAATCCGTCTGCTTCAACGCCGTCACATAACTTGCCCTCCCTCCAACATCGCCAAAACTGCTCTTTGTCGGAGTAGACGCCGGAGTAGACGCAGGAGTAGAGGCAGGAGTGGTCACAGTGTCGGCACACTTATGACTCAACTGTACGATCTGATGAATTCCTCCCATATCTGTAAACCTTTGCTGCGCTACTTGACTGTTTACCAAAATGCACATCAGCAAGTCTAATGCGAAGCCGGAGGGTAGGGGAAGAGGTGCCTCTGCTGCTGTGCTCGAGTTCGGGGTAGCCGGTCGAGTTGTAGGTGTAGCTGCCGGGATGAGGATGGGTGGGAGTAACTGGGTGCAGTAATCGGCAAGGACGATTTGTAGCAGAAGTTCTAGGCAGGACTTGCGGGAGCTAATGCGCTGCGTCGCGCGAGAACAAAGGGTGAGGCCCTGGAGGATGGTTATGGCGATACAGATTTCTGATGTTGTTGATCGGATGCGGAGTTGTTGCGCTTCTGACGTTGCAGAAGTTGGCTGCTGTGAGGAGCTACCGTTGCTGAGAGGGGCCTTGTTGGCTTCATCTGCTCGTTCAAGCTCCAGATGCAGCCTGTAGACGTGTCCTAACAGCACTTCCGCTAGATTGTACCCTGCCGTCGCTTGGAGAGCCCAGAATGTGGCTGAGTGGTCCAAGCCCACCAAGCCGCCTGCTCTCGCAGAGCTATCTGTAATCTTGACCAACGTCTTTTCGATATCGTTGAGCACAGCTATTCGCTCTGAAGACGTGAAGAGTGGGGAAGTGAGAGCATCGAGCCAACCTTCGATAGCAAGCTCTACGTTAAGAGTGCGAGGCAAAGAGATGCTGTTATTAGGACGCCAGATGCTGCCACTCAAGTGATCGTGTGCTGTGCTGAATCGTGTTGAGCATTGGGTAGGGGTGGATGAACGAGATAGGATAGCTTGTGGCATTATCGCTAGCTCCTCAGATGGTGACGCAAAGGAAGATGGTGAGAGGAGGGAAATGGTGAGAGGAGGGAAATGGTGAGAGGAGGGAAATGGTGAGAGGAGGAGGGAGACAAGCGCCATCAAAGTTTGCAGCTTTGATCAAGGTGAGAGGGAGCGCATAAGAGCCTGACTAAGTGCGTACTCGCCGTAGCATCATTAACCTAAAGGCGGTAATCAGGGTTCAGCTAACGTGGCGACGGCGAGTTGAGGGAAAGAGGTTGGAGTGCATGGAGAGATGCAGATGCTTTCTAGTTGGCCAAGATCTACACTGCATAAGAGAAAACGGAGGGCGAGTGTGTGGCGGCTGTGGCTGTGGTTGTGGTTGTGACTCGTACGAGAAACTCGCTGACATCAAGGCTCACAGAGACATGTCCTCGGTCAGACGCATCCGTGTAGAGCGTTAATCCGCTGCGAACACTCGCTTATGCACGAGCTTGACTTTAACCAGCTCCAATCCACCTTGTTCTTGACGACATTGCATGGTCGCTGCTGCTCATACGCTGATTGCGAGATGACGGAAGGGCATCAGCAGCAATGTTATATCGAATGACGAAAACATTGAATGACGTAAACATCGAATGACGTAAACATCCAAACCGAGTCGCGCTGCAAGAAACAAAATACACCGAGCGCGAGAAGCTAAAAGTCCCGCCCGAATCACGCGTTCCCGTTGGCCCGCGTCACGTGATGTGTTCCTCTTTCTCAGGGGCCAACAAGTGGAGGAGGCGCAGCAGAAACACACCTTGCTACACACCATCATCGGCAATCCTGTTTTCTGCGCTCACTTGGACGTCGACGTAGCTCTCTACCAAAGATACGGCGGCACGCCGCTCTCGGCAGCATGCCAGCGAAGCCTCGCAAGTCAGCACCGCAGAACCCAGCATTCTTTCTCGATCAGCAGGAAACCTACTCGATCCACTTTTCGCTCTTCCATCCCGACCCGTCTCTAGCCAGCCAAGCTCCTTTTCAGAGTAGCCCTAAGAATCGGCTGGCCATCGATCAGGTCTTCGGCCAGCTACCAGATACAGCCCTACAAGGCGACCACGGCTCGGCGAGTCGCTCTCAACGCAGCTTCTTGCATCGCCACCGCTCGACAAAGTCCTTCGGCTCGCCTATCGATATTCGTTTCGGGCCTATTCGCCTTGACTGGGCTCAGCGCGCTTGTTCGACCACAGATATGTCTGGCGAAGCCGGAAATTCTAGTACAAGTACAAGCTCTGTACCAATAGCTTCAGGCTCCAGTGGGCAACAACCCGCCAAGGCACAGAGAAGGAAGCATGTGTTTCATGCCAAAGAGCCACAAGTATCCTTACCTGTGGCTAGGTTCGAGAAGACAGACTCGTTCGAAGGCGATGCTTCTGGCTCAGCATCAAGCTCTAGAGATGTAGACAGGCAACTTGCCTCAAGCACCGAGAAGTTCCAAGGCATGACCATCGGTGTAACGGAGGTGGCCTTTGGTATCGTGCATCTCTTTTGCGACAAACAGGAAGCCACAACGAATACCGCTGCATCTTCTACAAAGCGCAGAGGCTCAAGCCAGCCCGCTGCGTCCTCAGCGGCATCGCAAAACCTCGAGAACCAGATTCCGGAACAAGATGTTGGAGCAATTGTTGCTGTTCTTGCTGTTCCATCTCACTTGACTGCTTCCCACTTCCTCTCCTACATCGAGCCGGCAGTGGAGGCAATCACACATCTCCGCATGGTCAGAGATATGCACCCAAATCGTTGTATGGTGCTCATCCGCTTTCGTGATGCAAAAGATGCTGAAGATTTCCACAAGATGTTCAACGGCCAGCCTTTCAACGCTATGGATCCGCAAGAGATCTGCCAGGTGGTCTACATCACTTCCCTTACCGTATCAAAACACTCATCCTTGCCGTTCAGCTATCCAACACTCACCAACTCCGATCCTTGGCCGCTTCGACCGCCGACAAACACAGCCAACAAAGCAGCTCACGAACTGCCGACTTGCCCCGTCTGCCTCGAACGCATGGACAGCTCGGTGACAGGGCTGATGACTATCTCCTGCCAGCATACATTCCACTGCTCGTGTCTCTCCAAGTGGGGCGAGTCCCGCTGTCCGGTTTGTCGGTACTCGCAGACAGGTCAACCTTCCGTACACCATCGGCGAAGGACACCGCGGTCTTCGATGCATCCTTCCACTCCTTCGCCCAACGGTCGCGGCGACAGTATTGCCGAGCCTAACTCGGAAGAGGAAAGCGACCTGGATGAGCCGAGCTGCTGTGCGGTCTGCGAGACGCAACAGGACCTGTGGGTCTGTCTGGTCTGCGCTTCAGTCGGATGTGGTCGGTACAAGCAAGGCCATGCACATCGACACTTCAGCGAAACAGGTCATCTGTACAGCTTGGAGCTTGAGACGCAGCGAGTCTGGGATTATGCCGGAGACGGATATGTGCATCGCCTCATTCAAAACAAGGCAGATGGGAAGCTAGTCGAATTGCCATCTGCATCATCCGCCACTGCAACACCGGAGCGAAGCAGGACGTTGCCTGCTTCAGCCAGCTATGCGTCAGCCATGTCGACAACCGGGACCAAGTATTCTGGTCCGCCGCTGGATTACGCACACGAAACCCGTCGCTATGCGGCAGCCGCAGACGAGACCGATGGAAGCTCGCTGCAGCAGCAACATTATCATCATCATCATCATCATCAGCATCATCATCAGCAGCAGCAGCAGCAGCAGCAGCAGCAGCAGCAAGATACGAGACATACAGGCTCAAGCCGTCCAGCAGATGAGAAGCTCGAAGCCATCGGAATAGAGTACTCCTATTTGCTGACCAGCCAGCTGGAATCACAACGTCACTTCTACGAAGACAAGCTGGACCAATTCCAAGCTCAACTCACCTCTATGACAGGTGAGCTCGCCTCTCTTTCGCTCAAATCCAAACAGATCGACGAGCTCTCGCAACGGACAGCTGAGCTCGAACGCACCAACGAGACCCTGAAGAAAGGCAAGGAGAAGAGCGATCGTAAAGCAGAGAAAGCAGTCGAGCTAGCACGAGCTTTGGAGAAGGATCTGCATTCGGAACGCTCGATCAGTAAAGGCTTGATGGATCGACTGGGCAAGGTGAAAGAGAGCGAGACGGGTCTGAAGGCTCAAGTTGTGGATCTACAGGAGCAGGTGAATGACCTGATGTTCTTTGTGCAGGCCAGGGATAAGATTGATCAGGAAGGAAGTGAGGCTCAGGGTGGTGATGTCGAGATCAAGGAAAAGCCTAGTAGGAAGGGAAAGGGTAGAAGGAAGTAAGAATCCACATTTGAGCGCTGTACCACCATGACGAGAAAGCGAAACCGATGATGGGCGACTTAACCCTCATTGCTGCAGTGGCGAGGCCCAAGACCGAGATGGGACATCTCAGGCACAGACAAAGCACCTCTTATTTGCATGCGAAAAGAAGGTTTCCAAGTCTTCTCGGCAAATGACCTCATTTTTGTTAGCCGACTGCTGTGGTGTATTTTTGTACAACCTGAACTCGAGCAGAAAGTCGTGGAAATTCTCCTCGGCTTAGCGTACTTGGTTCGTGCTCAGGCTCACTCTGCAACTTGGGAGGATCTTGGTTCGAGGCGGTTTGAATGTGACTGGTGTGTTGCTTGTGTTGCTTTGTTCAGTCAAGCGATGCGGCGCTGTTGGTGAACTGTGCCGTGCTGAGCTATGGGTTGACGTCAACTGGTGGTGTCAATTGCGAGGAAAGGTCAAGCCGAGCTGAGTCGAACAAAGTATATAACCTTGTCATCCCCAACCATCGGCATCTTTCTTCTCTGCACACCAACACATACCCCAAATTGCATTGTCAACCATGTCGCTCAACAAGTCCCTCACCCTCAACGACGGCAACAAGATCCCTCAGATCGGCCTCGGTACCTGGCTCTCTAAGCCTGGTGAGGTAGCTAACGCAGTCCAAGTCGCCGTCAAATCTGGCTACCGTCACCTCGATCTCGCCAAGATCTACCAGAACCAGGAAGAAATCGGCACTGCCCTCAAGAAAATCATCCCTTCCGTCGTTAAGCGCGAAGAACTCTTCATCACCTCCAAACTCTGGAACAATGCTCACCGACCCGAAAATGTTCAAGCTGCATACGAGGAAACCCTCAACGAGCTTGGTCTTGACTACCTCGACCTCTACCTCATCCACTGGCCCGTCGCCTTCGTTCCCGGGAAAGATCTCGTCCCTAAAACCGAAGATGGCAAGCAGGCCTTGATCGATCGCGACGTATCTATCGTCGACACCTGGAAAGCTCTCATCGAACTCCAGAAAGCCGGCAAGGTCAAGTCGATCGGTGTTTCGAATTTCACCATCGAACACCTTGATGCTATCATCAACGCCACTGGTGTAGTTCCCGCTGTAAACCAGATCGAAGCTCACCCTCTCCTGCCCCAGGATGACTTGGTCGCTTACGCCAAGCAGAAGAACATTCACCTCACCGCTTACTCGCCCCTTGGCAACAACTTGAGCGGAAAGACCAAGATCGTTGACTACCCGCAAGTCTCGGAGGTCGCTAAGAAGTACAACGCTGACCCAGCACAGGTGCTTATCGCTTGGGGTGTCAAGAGGGGCTACAGCGTTATTCCTAAGAGTGTTACCGATTCGAGGATCAAGTCCAACTTCGACCAGATCGAGTTGAAGGATGAGGATTACGACAAGGTTACCAGCTTGTACAAGGAGTTGGCCAAGGTTCGCTTCAACATCCCTTTCACATACGCTCCTAAATGGGATGTTAATGTGTTTGGCGAAGATGTCGAGAAGGAGGCTACTCAGTCGGTTAAGATCCAGTAAGCATCCTCGCTTGATATTCGTACCAATACATTCCCGCCTCTTTTGCTCTACTTGATTTGCTGTCCGTTTGGGTGTGTGCAGGCAAGCAAGACTCTGAGATGAAACCCCAACTTCAAGAACATTGCAGGACCCGACACTCATCGAAACGTCGACAGCTGCCGGAGCGCTTTCATCAAGGACGCATTCACATGTCACACCATGAGAAATAGGAAAGCATACATCTCCTTTATCCGCGTGCAATCCCTGTCTGCGATCACGAGTTCAGAGCGATCGTTCGTCACCTTGAATCGCCATAAAATCCCAACTCACACCTCAAACAAGCGACATACAAAAAGAGGAGTAAGGAACTAACCTTGAATTAAGCAAGCATCAGTCGCCATCCGACGACAGCATACATTCAGTACGAAATCACTCATACTTGTTCGCAGTACCCGTAGCCTCAGCCTGTCTCTTCAACGCCTTGGGCGCATCACCCCTTTCCATCATCAACTCCACCACTCTAATCCTATCCGGCTTCGCAAACTCGTCACTCTCTAGCAACTCGTCCAGCTGCTTCCTGCCCTGCACCCTATAAAACTGTTTCTTACTCGGCTCCATATCCTTCTCATGACTTTTTCCCTCCCTCTTCCCCGCCTTCTGATCCCCGAAAAAGTCCAACATCAAACTATGATCGTAGGGCGGAATATCATTATACTTCCTCTCCGGACCATGGATTTGCCTTTCAATCTCATAGCCATCGTTGTTCAGTACGAAAAGGTAGGGCGTCAAGCCATGCCTGATCATAGTGCCAATTTCTTGAACAGTGAGCTGGAGGGATCCGTCACCGACGAAAAGACAGGTCCTGCCGAGTTTGTTTTCTCGAGCAGCTAGTGCTACGCCGAGCGTTGCACCTACTGACCAACCGATTGAGCCCCAGAGGACTTGTGAGACCCATCGGGTGTTTTTGGGAAGTTTGGCTTCAAGCATGCCGAAAGAGGAAGTGCCGGTTTCGACGATGACTTGGTCTTGTTCTTTGAAGAATCTTCCCATTCTTGGCCAGAGATATTCTTGACTGATAACGTCGCTCGAGTCGGAGGGAAGAGCGTTTTGGAATTTGGGTACGACCGTTTTGGTCTCTTCCAACCTTCGTGCTTGGTCAGGCTGAAGGATCGCACTGAGCTTTGGAAGGAGTCCTTTCATCCCAATGCCCGGGTAGTGCGAGTATCCAACGGTGGTGTAATCCGAATGGAGTTCGATAGTGCTCTCCTTTGGTGTTCTATAGCTAAAGTTGCCCGAGTTGAAATCCGACTTCAAGCTGCCCACCGTGATCAACACATCTGCTCCCTCCACCACCTCTTTCACCTTCTCGCTAGTCAGATTACCGACATAGAGTCCACCGTATTGAGGATGATCCTCATCCACAATCGCCTTACCCATCGGGGTAGCAAACACCGGCAAACCTGACTTCTCGATCAACTCCCTAGTCTCGGCGATGCATCCATGACGATCAGCACAAGCGTCCACTAGAATGACCGCCGATTTGGCTTGCTCGATATGTTTCTTGGCCACATTAAGAACATATTTCTCTGCAGCTTCGTCATTGGGCTCCGCATCATACTTGAGCTTGGTCTTCAGTGCGTCGGCAGGAATGGTCGCATGGACAAGGTCGGTGGGAAGAGCGAGGTAGACGGGTCTAGCTTTCTTCATAGCACTGACGAGGATCCTATCAATCGCTTCACCCACACCTTCCTTCTGCTTAAGAACAGCGCTATCAGCAGAGATTTCCTTGCTCATGTTGACGAATGCTGAAAACCTTCCATCTCCCAAAGTGTGGTGCAGAAGAGAGTGTGCACCCTGAGCAGCAGTGGAAGGTACACCGACAATGTGGATCACGGGTAGCCTCTCGGAAAAGCTTCCTGCGATACCGTTCAGTGCGGATAGCTCGCCGACACCGAATGTTGTCACGACAGCAGAGATGGTTCGTTTGATACGTGCATAGCCATCGGCAGCATAGGCAGCATTTAGCTCGTTGGAGTTACCAATCCATTCGAGCGAAGGGTGGTCTTCGATGAGATCAAGAAATCCCATATTGAAGTCTCCAGGCACTCCTTGGATTGATTGAGTGCCGAGTTGGACTAGACGCTCCAGGAGGTAGGCTCCTATTTTGATTTCGTTGCTTGACATTGTGAAGGATGATGGGTTGGGTGGAGTTGATGGGGGGAAGGAGACTAGGAGGACGAGTAGGATCAGAACGGTGATATACTTTAGAGGTGAGTAAGTATCCGGAAGAGAGGTCTAAGAAGCTCTCACGGCGCTTAGGCCACAACCGATTCTCGCTGGGGAGAAAGGCAGCTTCTCTCGGCCATACACTCAGCGATCAGTCAACCCTTCCCGTCTGACAAGGCCTGGGGATGAATGTGCTAGCCCAACAAGAAACGGAATCCATGATGACAAAAGGTTCGGCATGATGACGAATTTGCTGCTCACAGCCGTAGTGGAAGCTTTGATGCAGTTCATGACAGCCTTTGCATATGTGGAGAGCGCCAGGCTCAATATGTTAGAGTAGTGACCAATGAACATATTCAGGAATTGCTACACAACCACATCGACGACTGCTTCTCAGACTCAGTATCGCCCTCACAAACACCAAAGAGATTCAACAAATGTTCATATTAGTGGATTTGAAGACATAAGCAACAGAAGCTTTGATGTTCGGGCGTATAGAGCTGACTGGCTCGCTGCAAGGCCTTTTCCTTAGTCCTTGTAACCAGCCTGGCGTCTCTGACCCTTAGCGACGGTCTTGTCGACCTTGAATCCTCTCGCCTTGTAATATTCCTCCTCCCTGCTTGTGCCATCCTCGCTGTCCTGAGGAATTTCACCTCGAACCGCAACACGAATGGCGTGTCGGCGGCTGACCCCAACATCCTCGTAGATAGCCGAGTGGATGTTAGTCCTGTTGTCCCAGATAGCGACGTCACCAGCATTCCATTTGAACCTAACGCTGAAGTCGCTAGCAGTAGAGACGTGGTTGGTGAGGAAAGCAATGAGGTAGTCCGACTCAGCTTTGGGAACACCTGGGATGTACTTGCAGAAGCCAGGGTTGAAGAAGAGTGCCTTGTGCTTGGTGACAGGGTGGACACGGACAAGGGGGTGTTCGGTTTCAACGGGTTCACGACGAACAGTGTTACCGAAGCGACGAGCTCCTTCAGCCTGATCAACGGCAGAGTGGATGGCGGTGAGCGACTCGAGATACTGACGAAGAGGATAGGAGAGACGATCGTAGGCAGCGTATCCGGATGCCCAGAGAGTATCACCTCCTGCTTCGGGAGAGACGAGCAGCTTGAAGGATGTGTAAGAGGGAGGGTTGATTTCGTATGTCACATCAGAATGCCATAGGTCGGCACGAGAGTGTTGCACTGGACCACGGTAGACTTTCTGCCCAGGGTCGGAAGTGGGATGGGAGTAGACAACATGGACCTCGTCAAGGTCGCCGCGAGCTGGGACACCGGTGGTGGCGTGCTTGTGGAGAGGACCCCAGTATCGGCCCAACTCGAGCTGCTGCTCTATGGTCCAGTCGTCCTGACTACGGAGGAAGACAACACCTCGTTCAGCAACGAGCAAAGCCAGTTCGTCCTTTTGCGCATCCGTGAGTTCACCGAGCTTGATGCCCTCGAGCTCGGTACCGATGGTTCGGGTGAGGTCCTTGACAGAAGTGGCAGCACCGAAAAGTGCCTTCTTTTCAGGATGAGCAAAGAGGGCACGGTCCTTGGGAGGAGTGATGGGCTCGTAAGCATCCCAGTGGGCCTTGGGGAAAGATGGCTTGAAGTCGTTGTACGGGTAGTCCTCCTCGGAAGCCAGGGCGCCCAGGTCAAAGTGCTCCGAACTGTATTGGTGAGCACGGTTGGTAAGGCCTTGACGAGGGGACTGCTTCTTAACGACGAAGTTAGCGGCTTTGGAGCCGGAAGCCTCGGGCGATGCTGGTCTACGTTCGACTGCGACCGGTGCCATGGTGATTGTAGAATCCAGAGGAGATGATGGGGTGCAGAGATTGGAATGGGAGCAAGCAAGAGGTGCAGGGTCGTGTGAAGATGCTCGGAGAGGTGTAGTTCAGGGGTGAGAGAGGGGATCAGGGATGGGATCCGGCTTCTTTAAGTACGATAGCATGCGTGAACAAGTGATTCATACTCTTCCTAAGCGTCCTTCTTCGAAGAACGCGCAAAACATGGCAGCCGGGGATTCTACTTTGCGGCGGCCGAAGGGCCAAGAGTTAAGATGGTACCTCAGTATTGCCATGACTGTGACTCTTGCGTGACCAGGACGGACAGGCGATGAGGTCTCGCTCACGTTATTGCGTCGCACGTCACAGAAGGGACAGTACGGATCGAGTAACGCCGAGCAGTCGCGGTTGGCTTTGCTTCCAAGCAAGCATCGGAGCTCGTCATTGCAATACTTCTCACCGGAACTATAAATGGCGCAACTTGACATGGCTCTTGCTGCAAGCAAGCGAACAAGGGAAAAGGATCACAAGAAGCGTCTGCAACTTGTATTGCCGAGGCCAGAACAACAAATTGCTCAAGTCACTTCGGTCTAGACGCCATCGAGCGAAATGGCGCGAGCAAGGCAGCTGCTCGCGTGCTCATCTTTCTTCCCTCATGTCTCGTTGTTCGTCATTCGTCTATCTCACAACCTGTTTCTTCACCCATCCTTGTGTTTTACCGCGGTGTAACATTGACGGTGGGGGAGCTCTCTGCAGCCCTCCAACACATTCTTCATTAATTTACCCACATACCGTCCATCGTCGCCACATGTAATAAAACCGTGTCCTATCATCGAAGTCAGTGCCACAAGCGACAAGCGATCAACGCTATTCACAACAACAACAACAACAACAACAACAACAACAACAACAACAACAACAACAACAACAACAACAACAACAACAACAACAACAACAACAATAATAATAACAACAACAAGATTGATTGAGGAGAATGGACATATTCGCTTGGAAAGAGGCACATCGGAATCAAGCTGGAATGACCTAGCCATCTCTCTTGATGAAAATGTAGATCCACTTGGTGCAGAGTCTTGCGGTCGAACGCTTTTTTGTCCCAGTATCGAGGCCCTTCTTTTTGCCATCCTGGTCCGAGATCCAGAGCCTCCAGGCTTTGTCGTGACCCCTAGTGACTGTGATGTCCTTGCATCCGGTCTTAGGATCGAAATTATCGTAGAAGAATTGAACTCCACCCTGATTGGGATAATTAATCCTGAAGGGATCACCAGGTTTATCGATTGTGAAAACTGCAGGGGCATTGAAGACAAAAGGTCAGCATCTGCTCTTAATTTTACGGCTGAAGGTGAAACAACTTACTCTTCATGGAATCGTCCCTGACCAAGATCTTGTCCGGGATGCCGAATGGTTCAAGGCGGGGGCAAGCTTGCGCGGAAGTAAGATCACCTGCCCAATGAGTGAAGCAAGTATGCTTGGGGTCACTTCCGGGTCCGCAGCGTAACTTGTACTTCTCATTTTCAGGAGTAAGCTTGTTAACGCAATTATCAATTCTGTATTCGCGAGGAGAGAGATGGTGACGGACTTGTGTAGGGATGAGCTCGCCCACAACAGAGTGAAGCATCAGAACCAAAGCTACCAGAAGGAGGCCAAAGTTGGCAGCGGAAGTAGAAGCTCGAGTCATCTTGCTCAAAGGTTGTCTGAATCTTGAAGGTCTTGAAGGTTGTCTGAATCTTGAAGGTCTTGAAGGTTGTCTGAGTCTTGAAGGAAGTGAGGGAGAACTTTCGAAATAAGTTTTGGGAGATCTGTATTTATGGGCCCAGCCCTCAGCTCTTGTTCGCAAACATCAATGACTAGCTGCCGGGTACACGAACCACATGCGGGGACAGAGACCGAAACATGAGAAATGTGAGGTTGCCTAGCTCGTGGGAGAGTCGCTTTCGAAACCCCAGCCGTGGCCGTAAGGGCCACAGGTGGTCGAGCGTCGCGTGATAGCGGGGGAGAGCGTGCGTGAGACCTAACTCCATGAGAGAACAGAACCTCAAGGGACGGGAGGGCGGGTGAGCTTGAAGAGCGCTGCACGGAGCCAGCGTGTGAGTGAGATGATGGTAAGGAGGGAGATGATGGTGAGGAGGGAGGAGAGGTGAGATGAGACGAGTGAGTGGTAAACTCGCTCACTTGCACCTCTTTGACCCTCGGATCTCGCGATGAAGTCAGGTGGGTTGCCATTGGTGGCTGTGAAACAGTCGCCACACCTTATTGCATCAATTTGATACAGTAGAGATTCAGCCGCCTGATTCAGCCGACTGATTCAGCCAACTGATTCAGCCGACTGGTGGGTCAGATGAAAGTGTAGGAGGGTCGTGCTTGTATCGGCTCGTATCAGGCTGATCGTCAGACGAACGATGTTTGTATCAGTTGAAGTTGCACCGGAATGACAAACATGCAGGAGAGCCAAACCACTGACAGGCCGAGGATTGTGCATGCATAGTAAATTTGGTGGCAACCAATCAGGACATGTTTAAAGAGAGGAACACCAAGACTAAGGAGGAAAACACCGAGGCTTGTCACAACACACCTAGTTCACAGGGTGTGAATAGCCAATCTCACAAACAAACCAAAGGTATATATAACCTTACATTACTGTAGTCTTAGTCTATAGGAATCTAAGTGTTGCATCTACCATACACCAGTACAAAAGGTGCTAGAATGTGGCTCAGCTGAAGAGGTGTATCACATAACTTCAACTGATTAAGAGTCTGAAGCTTCTTCACCAGACTAGTCATGGTGGATGACACTGACCCTCAAGCTGGCACCAGCGAGGCTGCCAAGAGGTCTAAAAGGACCAAGAAGGTAACAATTGTCCAACAGACACAAACTGGAAATACAGCCAATGATGACAATGAGATTGATGACAACCCTGAAGACAAATCAGATGATGATGACATTGGTAAACAATACAGTTTTCACACCTTAAGCAAACTCCTTGAACCAGTGCCAAAGCTTACTACCCAGAACCATTACAGCTGGAGTGCTCATGTAAAGTCTTTCCTCTGATTGGTACCTTACACCATGGAACACCTCAAAGGAACATATGATGTGAATCACTCAAAATGGAGTTGCTCATTTGATGAAGCATTGACAAATGCCTTATGTGGAACCATCAACACCATAGGAGAGTATAATGTAAACTATCTTCTTTTAGACATAATAAGAGAGTACCTTACATTCCATCAAGTCTGGAGTAAGATAGAAGCAAGGTGTCAGAGGTCGTGTGCCTGAAACCTGAGAGCGGTAGTAGTGTTGATACTATTACCGATTCTGTCGAGTTATGTGACAGCGCTAATGGTATTTCGATTCCTAGTGAAATATGTGACAGAGCCGTCTCTGTCACTTTTCTCGTTGGAATCTGTAGTTGTATTGACGTTATGACAGATTTCGACTGACCACTGTGGACACTCCGTCCAGAGGTAGCTGTCAGGGGTCTCGCGCCTGAAACCCAGGTCGGTCTGTCGAGATACTTGGTGACTATCAAACTGTGCAACAGCTATTGTCTCAGTATTGGTCTCGACAAGCTAGCCACTCAGCGACTATCAAGTTGTGCAATGACAGCAGGTGGCATTCATTGTATATACTATTGTAGGTTTTGGCTGACCTCTGTGGACACTCCATTCAGGGGTAGCTTGGCACAATCAATATCAATATGTAGGTTATGATGACACCAAGGTCTGGTGTGAGTGTTGATGATGATGAGGTTGATGGTGTTGGTGATAAGGTTGGTGGTGTCAACACCAGTGTCCAGTGTGTTGACTTGATGCTTGAAGTGAGCCCTGGACTGCAGTGGACTACTGCCTTTGGTTCTATCTATATCTGGACTGCTGGTTTGCTATGAACTGCCTTCAGACATCAGGTAGTGGTGATACAACACATGTACTACAATGAGGAGCAACCTTGATAGATTACTACTATGCTGACTGAAACTAATATATACTTATGCTGAAGTGATAACTAGTTATGATGGGTGTAGAGTGGATGAGGATCCACTTGACCTTTGATGATGAGAAAGTATGGTAATATACCTCTTCACAGCATCGCCAGTGATGCTGCTCCTGCTCTCTCTCCAGAGAGTACCTTCTTCATCGAGTGCTGTTCAGGGGCCTCTCCTGCTTGGCACCCCTGTGCCTCTTGAGCTGTGTCGACTCCTTCGACACTGCTCCTCCTCCTTGCTATCCTGCTTGTTTGGCACCCTTGTGCCTCCTGAGTGGGTCGAGTGGATCCTCATCCACTCTACTCACCATACAACTAGTCAATACTTTAGAAACACAAGTACTCATTAGTTACAGTCAGCATAGCAGCAATCTATCAAGGTTGCTCCTCATCATAGTGTGTGTGTTGTATCACCACTACCTGACATCCGTAGGTGCCCATAGCAGGTTAGCAGTCCAGATATAGATAGAACCGAAGGCAGTAGTCCACTGCGGTCCGGGGATCACTTCAAGCGTCAAAGTCAACACACTGGACACTCGTGTTGACGCCACCAACCTTATCACCAACACCATCAACCTCATTATCATCAACACTCACCAACCTTATCACCAACGTCATCAACCTCATCATCATCAACACTCACCAACCTTATCACCAACGTCATCAACCTCATCATCATCAACACTCACACCAGACCTTGGTGTCATCATAACCGAAGCATTGATATTGATCGTGCCAAGCTACCCCTGAACGGAGTGTCCACAGAGGTCAGCCGAAACCTATGACAGTATATACAACGAATGCCACCTGCTGTCACTGTGCAACTTGATAGTCACTGATACCGAGACAATAGCTGTCACACAGTTTGATAGTCACCGAGTATTTCGACAGACTGACCTGGGTTTCAGGCACGAGACCCCTGACAGCACCCAGTAGCTTACTATTCTCGCAAGATGGCGTCAGCCGAAAAGAACTACGAGATACATGATAAAGAGCTCCTTGCAGTGGTAGCCTGCCTCACCCAGTGGTGCCATATGTTAGCCAGACTACCCAATCAGCTTGTCATTCTGACAGATCACAAAGCCCTCAAGTATTTTAAGTCTCAACGACATATTACTGGAAGGCAAGCTAGATGGGCAGTATTGTTGGCTGATTTTGATTTCGTGCTGCAATATCATCCAGGTGACAAGGCTGGAGAACCAGATGCATTAACTTGGAGGAGAGACATGCAACCCATTGGGGAGGAACAGGAACACAATGTGTGACAGTTACTACCATCCAGGGTGTTTGAGAAAGTTCAAGATGAAAATGAACCACAGGACATCCCTGAAACAGCAGGGGTTGCTTCGGTACTGATAGCAGCCACGCCAACAATGGAGGCTATCACTTCTCAAGGATTACTAGGCCTAGTCCGAATGTTCCAACCCCTAGATCAGGAACTTCAAGAGATGCAAGCCCAGACACCTTTTGAAACCAGGAACAGGCTCTGGCACAAAGACGGACACCTGGTCATTCCAAAGGTAACCATGCCAGGAAGAACCAATGAATGCAGGACACGAGGAGCACAAGAAGTAGATGACCAATCCCTCTCAGTGGAACATCTATGATTCATGGTGATGTCTCAGTGTCACAATGGTGTAACCACTGGACATGTCGGACAGGACGCCACTATCTGGTCTGCCCAAAGACACTACTGGTGGCCTAATATGACAGCCTGGATTGCAGACTATGTGGCGAGTTGTCCTGTATGCACATGATACAAGACACCTCGACACCGACCCTACGGTCTCCTCCAACCATTGTCAACACCAGAAAGGCCATGGGGATCCATATCATTGGACTTCATTGAAGGACTGCCGATGTCAGGAGTCTATGACTCCATCTTAGTCATAGTAGACCAACTGACCAAGTATACAATCATTGTCCCGACAACAAAGACCATAATGGTGGAACAGACAGCTGTACTTCTCAAAACAAACCTCTTTCCACTATTCAGCGCCCCAGACCACATCGTCTCAGATCGCGGACAACAATTCATATCCAAGTCTTGGTCCACATTCGTAGACAGCCTAGGTGCAAAACACTCGCCCAGTACATCCTATCACCCCCAAACTGATGGGCAGACAGAACAAGTAAATCAGGTCATAGAGCAGTACCTCCGGATGTACTGCAACTATGAGCAGTATGATTGGTCTAGCTTAATTCATATGGTGGCATTCATGTACAACAACACTGTGCATGCTAGTATTGGCATATCCCCATTTTTTGGTTGCTATGGTTGGAATCCCAAGTCACATCTGGAGATACCTGGAAAACTTGGGGTAAATGACCCAAAGCTTGCCAAATACTTCACGGACAATACTGAACAAATTAAGTATCTTCAAGATCATATCAGACAAGCTCAGAGTTGGGTGGTCAACCAATACAACTGCAAACAGAAAGATATTGAATTCAAAGTGGGCGACCTAGTGTACATCAATCGAAGAAACTGGAAGATGAGATGACCAACCCCAAAATTGGACATAAGGTTCACAGGCCCATACCCGATCAAAGAAAGGGTTGGTAGAAGGGCATATCGAATCGGTCTACCAGTAAACCTCTGAGTCCACAACGTTTTTCACATATCAATGTTGGAGCCAGCCAGGACGAGCACACTTCCACACTGCACGCAGATTCCAGTAGAGCCACCGTTACTGG